GTATTTATTTTTATGATTAGGTGGAGGTTAGACCAACGTTACCGAGTCAAAGATTACCGAGATACCCGAGGTGAGTCTTCTCACTATACTTTACCTAGTGTGGTAACAGAGTTATGTGATAGAGTATTTTAGAGTTATATGCTAGTGTAATTGCATGTTATTTATGTGCTATGATTTATTGTGATATGTGCTATGTATGATTCATAGTTACACAGTTAGGACCTTCGGGTCCACTGAGTTAGGACTTTCGGGTCCACAGAGTTAGGGCCAGAGGGCCCATAGAGAGTTGGGGCTGGAGGGCCCCACTGAGACACATAGACCTGAGGGTCAATAGAGTTAGAGCCTCGAGTGGCTATTATGCGTTAGAGTGGTATTTTGGGGAACTCACTAAGCATTTATGCTTACAGTGTTATGTGTTTTAGATACCAACGATGATCGGGGGAAGGTGCCGGATGATTCGTACACACGCACATTGAAGTTTATGTATTTTGATATTGGGTTTTGTACTGATACAATGTTGACACAATGTTTTTATTTATGATTACAAATGATATTTTATGGTTTCCAAAAGTGAAAATTTGTTCAAATTTTTACGGTGTTACAAGTTGGTATCAGAGCCTTGGTTTGAGGGATTCGGATACATCTTCGGGCGTATCTAAACTCAAACTGAGGATTTGAGAAAAAATTTAGTAATAAAAAAATAATATTTTTGAAATTGAGTAAAAAGAGTCTTGAGACAAACAGAGCAGAGCCGTGTGTACGATCAACCAGCGCCCGAACGGTGATTTCCCAAAATACCCTCATAATAAGTGATTATCAGATATGTTATGTATGCTATATGATGAGTTACGATATGCATGTTAGAGTAGACTAGGTATTCTTATTAGGAAGGAAGTTTCTAGATCTCCTGTCTTCTCCTTGAGCCTTCTAACTCCCTCTTCTTCTTCAAGCTTCGAGAACACCCAAGATTACTCAAAATTGGCTCACACATCAAAAAAATTCTCTAGGGTTTCGTGGATTAGGGTTTGGGACTTGGAGGATGGAAATAAGGCCATAAGGTGGGGATTAAGTTGTTTAAATTGGGTGCAAAACCCCGAAATTAGGGTTTCATTCTGGCAGACCCACTCGTCGAGTTGAGGGCTCTCAACTCGTCGCGTAGATGTCTTAAAACTCGTTTCTACTCGATGAGTCTGGGGCTCCCAACTCGTCGACTAGCTCTAAAAAAATAAACAAATTACAATTAAATGTGTACCAGGAATGAGACGGTACAATTCTCCCACTTGACTTAGACTTCGTCCTCGAAGTCTACTGCATCTGGAAACAACTCTGGGTGGTACTCCCTCTTCTCCTCCTCAGACTCCCAAGTCCACTCTAAACCCCTGCGGTGCTGCCATTGAACCTTCACTAGCTCAACCCTCTTGTTGCTCAGCTCTGTCGTTTTCTTATCAAGAATAGCTACTGGTCTCTTAATATAATTCAGATTATCATCAACCTGAATATCTTCTAAAGGCACCAATCGCTGAGTCATCCACTAAGCACTTTTGCAACTGAGAAATATGGAAAGTTTTGTGGATCGTGGATCTGACTGAGCTTTGCTGGAAGATCTAATCGGTATCTTCTGCGAAGTGAATCTCTTAAGATTAATATAAAGAGAAGCATTTAACAAATGAGGCATTTCTGATCCTTAGTAAAGGCATTTCTGATTAAATTTTTTTGGTTGCTCAAAAATTTCCTAAAATTAATTTGAGGTGGGAAAAGCTTCCCTTGCCACGGATCAAGCCAAGTTCCTCAGATATGATAAAAAAACACTTTTGCCACTAGAACACCTTTGACGTTTTGAGTATAGATTCACTCATAATACTTTTGACAGCATTAGAAGCCAAACCGACCACAATTTGCATAACGACTAGAGGACTTCCACGGACTCTTTAGCCATTTTTTGGTACTAAGGGTCATAAGTGGTAGTATTTTGAAATGTTTAGCAAATTAAAGGCTACAAATGTCTAAAACACAAACTCTTTTTTAAAAGAAACTATATTGAAACTTGTTGGTTACTTTTCTATGAGACCGTTAAAATGTAAATTTAAATTCAAATTCAATAATTAATGAAAGGATATTAATATTCCAAAGTAAATAACTTACCATTAACCATTCCATTCAACCGCATGTAAATTTAGCATCAAACATTCCCCATCCATTCACATTTAAATTTCTTCGTCTCTCCTCAATTCTTCCCATCTTCGTGCAATTACAATTTGATTTCTCTCCGGATTTGATCTACACAAAGGTATACATTCATAATTTCTTCACACACTATTATTTTTCCTTATCCAGATCATCATCTGTGTTCATATCATATAATTTTTTCAGATGAACATTCCTAATTTACTGTAAATCTTCTTTGTATCATATTCTTTTTCCAGATTTTGTTCTTCATCCAGATGAACATTTGTACTTCTGCTTAATAATTTCCTTTTATCAGAGTTGCAAACCAAATCGACTTAGATATATTCGTTATCCCACATAATTTCTTCAGTTTTCGTAATTTCCACTTAATTTCTTCAATTTATCAGATTAACAAACCGTTGTTAAATTAGAATGAACACAAAACTAAAAACCGAATCAAATGAGGATTTCGAATCAGAAATAATAAACATGTATCCTATTGATTTGATTGATATACGATTTCTTTTTTTTTTTTTTTTTGCAATTTTGAAAATGATGTTCGGAAATCAGAGAATGGGACGCGGTGTAAGTTGCGGCGGAGGTCAGAGTTCTTTAGGTTACTTGTTGGGAAGTGGTGCGGGACAGGCTGAGACCGACGACAACGCTCCACCGCCACCGGAGAACACCACAGAGGCTCCCAAAGATTCTACAGAACCACCTTCCGATGACGCAACAAATACCCAAACTGATGAATCTTTGAACCAAAATCCGACTGCTGAAACATCTCATGATAGTTCAACAAACAATTACCACAGAGCCGATGGACAAAACTGTGGCAATTTCATCACTGTATGTATATGAATGATCATACATACGATTCGAATTTTTATTTTGAGTAATTGTGATTTAAGAATACTTGGATTCCATGTGTGATTTGATTTGTTTCAGGATCGGCCTTCAACCAAGGTCCATGCTGCACCCGGTGGCAATTCTTCACTTGGTTACCTCTTCGGTGATGAGAAGAAATGATGCTGTCGATTTCGGAATGTAATTTATATGGTGTTATATAATGTTAATGTAACTTGCTTCATGTATGAATTAGTGTTTTTTTTTATGCACATTTGAAAATGGCATCTTTTGGTTTTCTATATAATATTAAAAAAAAAAATTATATTTATTGCATACTTTTAAATTTTAAGTTTTAACTATACACCAAAGTATTACTGACATCAATGTTAAATACTTGGGTGGACTTTTGGTTATGATCATATTAAAAACCGAATCTGATGCAAACAATTTCTTGGTAAACGCTCTCTTTATGCACAAATGGCCAAATGCGACCCTCACTGCATTACCTCGTGAATTCTCAGACCACTGCACTTTGGTTCTCCTCACATCTTCTATTGACTTTGGGCACGCTCCTTTTAGATTTTTTAACAACTCATTAGCATATCAAGATTTCACTGAGATTATATTGAATGTTGTATCATCGTTTCATTTTAGTGGACCTCCAGATAAATCTTTGGCGACTAAATTGAGGAAATTAAAAGATGCCATCAAAACATGGCGGATGCAGAACATGGAAAAAGAAGCTGGTGAAGTCCAAAAACTCAAACAATGGGTTTGTGATTTAGATTTAATTGTTGAATCGAGACCCGTATCCAGTGTCGAAATCGAGAATAGGATTGAGTGGAAAAAGAAAATCCTAGAACTAGAACATCGTAGATATATAGACCTCAGACAAAAGGCTAGGATCCGGTGGGCAATCGATGGTGATAAAAACTCACAATTTTTTCATGGTATCATAAATAGTAACCTCTCAAAAAACAGAATCTACGGACTTTTGATCAGTAGCAATTGGTCAACTAACCCGATAGCAATCAAGAACGACATATTCTCTTTCTTTAAAGAGAAATTTGATGAAAAAATGAGATCCAGACATTCACTATCTTGCAACTTTAATAAAACCTTATCTGAAAGTGAGGAAACATTCTTGATTGAACCTTTTTGCCCTGAAGAAATCAAAGTTGTAGTATGGGAATGTGGTAATGAGCGTGCCCCTGGACTAGATGGATTTTCATTTAAATTTATCAAAAAAAATTGGGCATCATTTGAACCAAATTTCCATGATATACTTCTTCATTTTCATGCATTTGGTAATATTAACCCGAGCTGCAACTCCTCATTTATCACCCTAGTCCCCAAAACCACAGACCCCTTGTGCTTGTCAGATTACTGTCCTATCAATCTAATTGGTTGTATTTATAAAGGGATCTCGAAAGTTCTAGCAAATCGATTAAAATCTATCATTGGCTCTATGATTGGGGAGACCCAATCTGCATTCATTGATGGAAGAGATATTCTTGATGGTCCCCTCATGATTAATGAGTTGATATCATGGTTAAAAAGGTCAAACAGGAATGCATTATTATTCAAAGTTGACTTTAATAAGGCTTTTGACTCGCTGAACTGGACATTTCTTGGCTCCATTATGGAGCAATTAGGCTTTCTTACTCGCTGGAATCAATGGATCATGGGTTGTCTACAATTTTCCTGGACTTCTGTTTTAATGAATGGTTCACCCAAGAAGCAATTCTCGATGGAGAAAGGTTATCCATTATCACATTCTCTCTTTGTATTAGCTACGAAAGCCTTAAATGTTGTCATGTCTAAAGCCTATAATATGGGAATTTTTAGGGGTATACATACTCCAAATATGGGTCCGATTTTATCCCACTTGTTCTATGGAAATGATGCGTTGTTTGTTAGTGAATGGTCCCAGATTAACCTACTAAACGTTGCAAGAATTCTCCGATGTTTTAACTTAGCTTCGGTACTTAGAGTGAACTTTAGCAAAAGTAAGGTCTTTGGGATTGGTGTGGCTGATCCTGATGTGGAGTATTTTTCTCATATCTTAAATTGCCAGTCTGCCACCCTTCCCTTCACATACCTCGGGTTAAACATGTCCCTTACCAAGCACTGGAAGCCAGTAACTGATAGGATTAAATCTTGTCTTTCATCATGGAAATCCAAGTCTATATCCTTTGGTGGTCGTATCACCCTAATAAACTCGGTTTTAGGGAGTTTACCAATCTTTTATTTTTCCCTCTTTAAATCCCCTTTCAAGATCATTGAAGAGTTGGAGAGAATTGGAAGAAGGTTCTTATGGGGTGATGGATCCCCAAATTTAAAAAAAAAAATGTTGGATTAGTTGGGACAAAGTCCTCACACCCAAATCTATGGGTGGTCTTGGTGTTATCAGATTTAGAGCTACTAACATCTCCCTATTTGGCAAATGGCTTTGGAGATTAAAACAAGATCCCTTTGCACTTTGGGATAAGTTAATTCTAGCCCTTCATAAGTCGGAGCATGTATGAAATTTTTTCCCTGTCCGGCTAGAAATCAGTGGTGTCTGGAAAACAATGTAAGCGTTACCAAAGACTTTGCGATGTACGACATTCAATTTGCTAAGCTACTTAAAAAGGATTTGGGTAAGGGTAATCTAACTTCATTTTGGATTGAAAATTGGTCTGGGAATGGTCCTCTAAAAGACCCCTTCCCTGAACTATTCAAATTGGAATCAAAGAAGGAATGCTTACTGTTAGAAATATGGTTTAGTGGCACTAGGAAATCTGAGAATTGTGATAATCACTTTCAAATCGAAGTATTTGGGTGGTACTCCCAAATCCTCAATTGGATAAGACTCAGATAAAATCAAAGAGAAAGAAAGAGAGAATGAGATGGTGTAATTTTCGTGAGTACCAGAAAACTGACTAAAAATTGGTTATATACATTCCATGTCTGAAAAACTGTCAAAACTATCATATAACAGTTTTTCTCAACAGTCAAAACTGTTATAAATCCGGGTTTGGTATAAGGATTAATGCAAAGTCAAAACCGAGTCAAATAGTCAAAACCGGGTCAAAAACTGCTATAAATCCGGGTTTGGTATATCGATCCCAGCCAGGGGCTCTACCCCTTGGACCCCGCCAGGGGCTGCCGCCCCTTGGACCCCGCTCCCAGGGGCGCTGCCCCCGGACCCCCGTTCGTTCAGGGGTTTCGCCCTTAAATGATAGTGTACTTTGATACTTGATCAAACTTAAAACAAGTGTGTACTCCACACCTTCCCTACTTGTTTAATATTTATCAAGATCATTTTTAGTCAACAAAGTAATCCCATTACACTTAAATAACATTGATGATAACAAATCACCAACAAACCTCCCCCATTTAAGTGTAATCTTGATTAATTTAAAATGAAACATAACACCAACAAAACTGATGCATAAATGAAATATCGTGACGATTGAATTTCACATTAGTATATTATTCATTCCAAATATTCGAATATTAGGGTGTCACTAAGGATTGAACCCTTTCTATTCTAAGTGAATACATGAAGATAATGTACACAACAGTTTACATTCTCAAAGTTCTAACTTGACACTATATTTTACTAGCTTGTGTCCCATCCTTCAATAAGCATATCAAAGTCAAGTCCCAACTTCTTGAAGCAGCTAAACTTCATGCTTATATAGGTAGTTCTTTTGTCTTGCACCTGCAAATGCAATTTTTCAAAGAACTATTAAGAAATAATATTTCAACCTCCTTAACTTGCAGTACTGAACACATACCTTGGGATGATAATAAAATGTGTTCCAATCTTCAAATATCAAGCTTTCCACATTGAATTCAGCATCTAATATTGCATTAGATGGGAATTGGGTATCTTAATATAAAAGATTTAAGTGGACTTTAAACCCATCCCTACAGCCGCCTTGTGCACAAGATCTCTTGCTAACCCTTTGGTTAGATGATCGGCTAAATTCAACTGAGTTCTTACAAACTCCACAGATATCACACCAGTCATGATGAGCTCACGAATCATGCTATGTCTAACACCTAAATGTCTAGACTTTCCATTGTACACTTGACTATAAGCCTTAGCCAAGGTTGCAGCACTATCACATCTGATAGAAATGGTAGATATCGGCTTGGGCCATATTGGAATTTCATAAATCAAATTCCTTAGCCACTCAGCTTCTTTACCAGCAGCAGACAAAGCAACAAATTCAGACTCCATGGTTGAGTTAGTAATACAAGTCTGTTTCTTAGATGCCCAAGAAATGGCACCTCCTCCAAGAAGAAACACCCAACCACTAGTAGAGGAGTGATCCTCTAAGTTGTTAATCCAGCTGGCATCTGAATAACCTTCTAAAACAGAAGGATATCCACTATAAGTCAAACCATAATTCATGGTCCCTTTTAAGTACTTAAATACTCTACTCACAGCTTGCCAATGATGTGAACTAGGATTACTAGTATATCTACTAAGCCTTCCCACAACATATGCTATATCAGGCCTAGTACTAGTCATGGCATACATAAGGCAACCAATAGCCCTTGAGTATTCTAATTGAGACACTGGAGATCCTTTATTAGGTAGAAGCTTAAGACTAGGATCTATAGGAGTGCTAACAGGAGAACAATTCTCAAAGTTAAACTTTTTCAATATCTTCTCAATATAATGAGATTGAGAGATTGAAATCCCATTGTTTCCTTTTCTAATTCTTATACCAAGAATTACCTCAGCCTCCCCCATGTCTTTCATATCAAAACTAGATGATAAGAATTTCTTGGTTTTATCAACTTCTTCTAAATCAGTACCAAAAATCAACATATCATCTACATATAAGCAAATCATGACTCCTTTACCAAAAGTATCAAATTTGCTATATACACACTTGTCAGCTTGGTTTAATGCAAAACCATTAGACAAGACAACTTCATCAAACTTTTGATGCCATTGTTTTGGTGCTTGTTTCAAACCATATAATGATTTCTTCAACTTGCACACTTTATGTTCATTTCCAGGCATCACAAACCCTTCAGGTTGTTTCATGTATATTTCCTCATCCAAGTCACCATTCAAGAATGCAGTTTTCACATCCATTTGGTGAATCACAAGATTATGTATAGCTGCAAGAGCTAATAATAATCTAATAGTAGAAATTCTGGCAACAGGAGCATAAGTATCAAAGAAATCAATGCCTTCCTTTTGTCTAAAGCCTTGGATAACCAATCTGGCTTTATACTTATCAATTGTGCCATCCACCTTCATTTTTCTTTTGAGGATCCATTTACATCCTAATGCCTTGCAACCAGGAG